GGAGGAGTCCTAATTTGGAAGAACCTTTAATTGCAATCCTATTGTGATTAAGGTTTCTTGGAAAGCAAGAGGAGGTCTATAAAAAAAAAAGACATTACACGAGATTTAGGAGGGAGAAAAAAAGAAGAAGAAGAAGGAGGAGAAGGCGACAAAAAAATCAAGCATTGGATTATTCTTGATGAATCTGTTCTAGTTCTTCATCATGTTTAGTTTAGTTATTGTTTTTAGTTTATTGTTCATTATGTTCTAGACTACTTGTTGTTAGAGCTACAATGTAGCTTAACTATGATTGATTAATTTTCAAGACTTGTTTATACAATTCTAGATCTCATATGTGTGAGTTATATATCATGTTCTTAATGCTTTGAAGTGCTTGATCACCACTTGAATGATTTTTATTGCATGATGAAACCGAAAGGAGATTCTATGCGAGTGCTTTATGATATATAGCCATGAATTTAACTTAGATAGAGATATACTAGGTTGTTTGTGTGGTTTCGGTAGTAAGTAAATCAAGGGTGGTTTATTGAATCCGGGAACATTCATAGATTTTAATGCACTTAGGTTTACTTAAATTCACATGGACCAAGTGTGGGTTGCTAAATCTAAGTAGGGTTGCTATATCGGACCAAGGATAGTAATTTAAATTAGGAAGTTCTACCATCACACTATGATTTCAATTTGATTGCATGACGAGCTTGGTTCATTAATCTTGATTGGTTAAGTGAAATCGGATGCTCTAACGTTTTTAATTCTTGATCAAAGTCTTTTGCTTCTTGCTTCTTTATGTTCGAAATTTCTAGGTTTAGTTTGTGAATTTCTATTTTCGATTTTGGTTTGCTGCCTTGGTTAATTTAGCTTTCGGAAATTTCAATCGTAATAGGTTAAATTAGTTTTCTCTAGAATTTCGATTGTTTTATTAAATCTTTAATTGGTTAGATAAAGTTGAGAATTGTTCACCTTTAGTAAGTAATTTGATTGATTTGTCTACAATCTCTGTGGGAACGATACTTTAATTCATCACTTTATTACTTGTTCGATACGTACACTTGCGTTGCTAATTTAGAGAACACAGGTGAATCAAGCCGAGAGCAGCAGTAGGTGGCTTCATCGATCGGGAAGTGCGAGCAAAGAACAGCACGGGTCAAGAGCACAGTGTAGGTCGGGCTCTCGGCCGCAAGAAAACTTCAGCCGAGGCCTCTCCCTCTCCCTCACACGTGTTCCTCTCTAGTATGCTTGTTGTAACACCGCGCATCTATACTGTGTAATATTATTCGCTTTGAGCCCACTGACCCTCACAACTTTAAAACACGTTACACAGATGTAGAACCCCAAGCCGGGACAAGAGAGGTACCCCATTTCCCTGCGCACGTCCGGGGTAGTGGTGCAGACGCACCGCCGCTTGGCTTGGGCCGTCACACTTGTAGAATTGAATTCCCGCTTCCTCTCACTCTAATGGACGTGTATGTTCAATTGTGTGGCCCCTTCTCAGCTCTCACTCACGATTTTTGGGGCCCCCCAGTGAAGTGAAGCCCCCCTCCTCCTTTTATGTAAAACAGATTTGGCTTTGTATCCCATCGTCTTCGGCACTTCAGTTAAATCCCTAAAAATAATCGCAATTTATTATAGTTGAGATTTACTGTTAAAAATAATTAAGAGATTCTCCGTATTTTCTACTATTGTTTTGTCGTCTACTTTTATTCTTCGATCATCTGATTTTTCTTTTTTTTTTCTTTCGAATTTTACATAAATATTATTCTCATGACCTTTTGGGCCTCCAGTTTTGGGCTTTTAGTTCAGGCCCAAAGTCAAATTGCGATTCCGAGCCCAATTCGGGCGTCACTTCCACGCCGGCTATCTCGGTCTCCCTTGCAGCTCGGTGCCAACACCCCCAGCTCGCCGACGAGCAAAGCGGTTGAAGATTTGTGCTAGACGACAACGAGCAGTGCCCGGCGGAGGAAGACGACGACGACATGTGTTGTTGAATCTGCCTGGCCTCGTGAACAGGTCTGTTTGATGTTTTGATTCAGGCAGATTGCGTTTTGGGTTTCGGCAACCGGGTCCTTTATGGCTTTCTCGGGATTGATCAGCCAAAGTTCATTGATTTTTGATGTTTTCATTTGGGAATATAGCAAGTTGTTTTGGGTTCCTTGTGGTGAGTGAATCGGTTTAGCTTGGTTCCTTTGATCGAAATTGGTTGATGTTTAATTTTTACTACAGTTGAAGGGAGATATTTAATTTTATAGTTGCACCACTTAATTTTCTTGAGATGTTTAATTTTTACTATTAACATATTCTTTCATATCTTCAGTTTTTTCCTTTTTGTTGTTTTGAGCGGCATATCTTGGGAAAAATTATTTAGCCAGTCATAAATTTTTCAATTTTGCCAATTTAAGTCCTAAACCTTTGCATGAAACTTCAATGTGGTTCTTCCGGTCAATTTTTGCCAGAAATGGCTAACATGACGGTTCAGTTATCACTGCATAGTACTTTCACGCAAAGGTCTAGGAGTAAATTGGCAAAATCGAAAAGTTTAGGACTGAATTAGTATACATACAGTAAGTCTATGACTAATTGGACAAATTTCCCTTATATCTTGAGCTTATGTGCATGCGAAACGCAAATAATTCACTGCTCATGTTTATGCGCCAGCGCTAAATCTGCCGAGAGAAACTTAGGAATAATTTCAAGAGCATATGCCTGCCTAAACTGATCATGAAGCAGACACAAACAGTACATAGAAAGGAGCAGACCCACTTCTAGTGCTTTCCCATAGCAGGGTGACTTCGTTGAATTCAATAGTGGCTTTGTCTTGTTTCTTTTTTCCTTGTACCAAACCTTCCCAAAAGAAGAAGAAGATGAGGAGTTGATGAGTGTCCAAAGCCCAGTGAAAAGGCAAAGAAGGAAAGGGACAGACCATGAATGGAGCACACGGGTGTTGTTCATACTGGATAAGAAAGTTAGGTGTGGGGTCAGTTGGCCTCTAACCCACCTTCAACACCAATCATCTGTTTTCAGCATTCAATGGCTTTTGGGTATTTGATTTTTTTTTCTTCTTTGCTCTATATGTTTAGAACTCTCTTAGTCTTATCAAGTTCCTATCTAATTTTGCGTCAAGTCTGTCTTTCATAGTTGTTTTGATTACGTCTTCTATTTTCTTGTTGGCAAGCTCTTTTATAATCAGATCCCTCAAATGGGTAGATCAGGTCGAAAATGATTCGATCCAAATAGATCTATTTAACCCGCTCCGACCAGTTTCTATGCAATACAAATCTAACGATCCATATCCAATCCGGCCGACCAATACTCAACCCGACCCGACCCGACCCGACCTATATTGTTAAAAGACTTCCATATTTAACAAAATCTAGAAAAACTCATATCAAACTGAGATGAGAACGGAGTGAGCGAGCGCGGGATAGAGTGAGGGCGAGGGAGAATGAAGAGAGAGTTATAAAAGTGAGTTGGGTTTAAGTAAGTTATAAACCCATTTATGACTTATTTAACACCTATATTATGTTTAAACTCATTTATGACCAATTTCTTAAATATAACTAACACATTCAACAACTCCGCCCGTCATATATAAGTTAAGAAATAGGCTTATGATCCATTTTGATAGGTCTACTTGTAATTAAGTTCTTTCGACAGTGGAGAGACGAGTAAGGACATTTAGTATTTGAGGAGCCCCAACCCCAATGTGCAATTACTTCTTATCCATTGTGCAATTACTTCTTGAATGCTTTCCCCCGGCAGTCAAACGAGGGCTGCTGCTTCTCTCAAATCCTCCAACGCCCTTCAATTTCCAGCACGGGGATTCATCCATGTTCCTTTCTGATTCTCTTTTTATCTTTGTGATATTGATATAAAATCCTGTGGGAAAAACAGGCTCTTCCGGCGGCTGAGAAAGTAGGGTGGAGTCACCGGTGGCTCAATCCGCCAGCCGAACCTAACGTTCGGATTATTGAACGGAGGAGGAGGAAGTGCAGACAGGTTTTGTTTGGTGTAACTATCAAATTTTTTGGATTTTATGTTATGGTAAGTAGCATTGTTTTTTATCGTACGGTTTTCATGGCTAATTCTTTATAGTCAAAACCGAATGCAAAAACATTAATTCCAAGCATGAGGTGTATTGTTGTAAGAGTGGTCATATTCAACATGAGATTTCATATTAATTGTTCTAATGCCAAACCTATGGGAAAATTACTAAATCGGTCTTAAACTTTCCAATTTTGTCGATGTAGTCTTAAAGCCTTGTCCGGAATTCCAATGTAGTCTTAATACCTTTGCGCAAAATTCCAATGTAGTCTTTTCAGTCAATTGCTGCCGGAAATCGTTAACGTGATGATCCACAAGTTGTCCACATCGGAGCTAATTGCATTGGCTCACGAATTCTGTCAAGGAAATCACAGTCTTTAAGATAGGTTCATCGATTCACCTTACTCTTCTAAATTCCAACAGCAAGCTTAACTTTGTTGTCAAAGAAATTAAAACTCATTCAACCGTGTGAGATCGTAATTGTTAGATTGAGAAAAGAATATGGCAAGTCGAAATATCAAGCTTATGGATGGAAACCTGAGAATCGACCCGAAATGCCGCCAGAAATTAAATAACACATATTCCAAAGATGTTTTTAAGTACGATGCAAATGTCAAGTCCATGCACAGGCGCATTTTATATTATGTCCTCTAAGTTTCTGGGATTGTAATTTGCCCCCCGAAGTTTCCGTTATATTTTACGTTGCCCCTTGTCATCTTGAAATCGGTTGTAACGTGCCCCTACATCGACTTTGGCCAAGTTTTGCTGCAAGTTCAGACTGCGCTGCTGGTTTTTTGAGGACAAACCAGTCATAAAAAACGTATAGTGTAATATTTGGACTTTTTATCCAAAAATAAGAAAAAAACAAAAGAAAAGAAGAGTTGACAAGTCAAAAAGAATAAAAAAAGAAGAAGAAGAAGTGGACTTCAGCTATATAAAGGAAAAACAGCTTAGAGAGAGAGAGAGAAGATCGAGAGCTTACAGGACAATCGGGAAAGAAAGAGAGGAAAGAAAGAAGAGAAGAAGAAGAAGAAAGAGATGCGTACTCGCCACGTGAGTCTCGCCAAGCCGGAGTTACTTCGTATCGCAACATCCGGTAAGTATTCGAGCCTCTCGCTCGTTCTATCGGAGTATTTTTCGGGTTAGGACTCAAATTTCGGAATTGGGTAATATTCAAGCCGCCTAATCCAATTTTTGAGTTGTTGAGCTGCGTATATATATAGAATTGGTAGTTTAGAGTGTCGTGGAGCCATGAGATTTTATTGATCTTGATTTGAACTTACGGTTTGCCCAATATGAATTTTTGAAGTAGGCCGCGCAAGGTGAACAGTGAGCGACCAGTGGCTTTTAGGCCGTTTTTCGTCGGTTTTCGGCTTGATTTTGGGACAGCCAAGTTGGGGTTCTTGTAGTGCTCTCAATGGGCTTTCTATTGACTATAAGCTCGCTTGAAACGGGGTTCGGTGGAGGAATTTATGGTGCGATCAAATTTCGCGCTCAAGTTCCGCGTTGCGGACAGTTTGGATAATCGCTTTGGATGAGCAGTTTGTGGGCGCCTTTGAGTTGTCTTGTTAGCGTTTAAGCATTGTTTAGCCATTTCGTAGTTATCATAGTATTTTACTTGGTTTTGACATCGATTCTCGTTTAATTGATAGGATTACGAAATCGTCGGTTCAAGTGAGCGTTGTTATTTGATTTTTGGGGATTCCAGGTGAGTGGTGTTATCTCTTCTATAAATTTCGAAACTCATGTCTTGAAAGCGAAATAGACTCGATATATATGAACTGTGAAAGAACATATTTGTTGCATAAAAGTATGGATCGAGCATTTACTATATTTTGGTATTTGTAAAAGGTTTTAGATATGTTTTGGGAATGACGTTGCGAAACGAGGTATATATATTGATTTGAAATGGGTATTGGAAATGTATTATGGTTTGAGAAATGAGTTCTCAAATGATTTGAGAAATACTTTAAAAAAAGGATTTTTGGTGATTGAGTTGAGTTGTGAAATGTCATATACTTGGTTTGTGAAATTGGTTTATGAATGATTTGAGAAATGGTGAATGATCTATGTTGTGAAAAGTTAATTGTTTGGTTTATGAGATTGTATTCTGGATTGGATTTATGATATTGGATGATGATTGTTTGATGCTTAATATGCTTGTGAACCCATTGAGGAGTTTGGGGGTATGCATACCAGTTTAGGATATCCTTCTGGGTCGAGCCACCGGCTTTGTAGGTGGAGACCTTGCAAAGGGGGGAATCTTGGTAGCCTTGTCACAAGGTTTTGTATCGTGACCATAGTAAGATATTGAGCAATAGATTGGTCGATGGAATGGACTATCGACATGTGATGTGATATGAGATTTATCAATGGAATAGACCATTGATGTGTGATTTGAGATTAGTCAATGGAATGGACCATTGACGTGGTTTTTATAGAGATTGATCAATGGACTTGACCATTGATAGTTTGAATTGTGATGGTGGATTAAAATGTGTATTTGTGACGTGTACAAAGCTTTGATGAAATGAAACAACTCTTATGTGATTCTATATGTATTTGATATCTTGAGTTTGGCTCTTGAAATTCTGGTATGGCTTTATGCATAGTGGTTGCTCGATCTGCTTAGAAGAGATACGCACTGCTTACTGAGCTGTGGTTGCTCACTCCTCTCTTTTCCCAATCATTTCAGGTTAGTAGCCTATAGAGTGAGAGCGTTGTCGTGGGGACTTTTGGGTGGTTTGAGGCTGCGTCTTTCGGGTAGGACGGTCGTGTCATTCCCATCCTGGTAGATTTCGGGGTGTGACATATAGTATGTACAAAAATAGGTGGTAAGAATGATTAATTTTGTAGTCAAATATGATAACATGTCTTAATGCAATTTAGGACAGGAAATTAAAAAAAAAAAGAAATTGACTAGAGAGAGGGGCGACGAATGTGGATGGCCGGCAGCGAAGCAACAATGCTGCTATCGCCCAAAAGCAACCCCATATCGCGTTGCCAAGGTGCGAGCACGGTTCGGCTCGCATGAAAAATTGAAACCCACTGCAATAATATGATTTTTCTCACCTACTCGCGTCTCTTTCTTTCAGTTTTCTTCTTCCCCTTTTGGAGTCTTTCCCTCTCTGCCTTTCCTTGTTTTTCCTCACCTACTTATATCTCCCCTACTATAAAAATAAAAATTCGAATTATACTATACAAAGATTAATTCAATTTGCAGTTTAGTTTGGTTCGGGAAAAAATCTACCCCGAACCAAACCATTAAATTTCAATATGGTGCGGTGGACATAATTTTAAATCACCTCTCCAAATCATATTACGGCGATTTGAACAGAATTATGCTCAGCTTAGGTTTAAAAACCAAAATACCGTTAGGTAATTTGCCACCACCTAAAAAAACTTAGGTGGCACATTTTGGCCACCATGCTTTAATTTCTCAATAAAATGATATGGAGATACATTATTGTTCTCAATGCATATCATATTCAAACGTACAGACAAAAATTCTATGCATTCAATGGGCTCTAAAAATGTAACATATATCGATAAAAACGATAAAAAAAACCACCTATAATATATGTCAAATTGCAACGTGATGCATTTCATGTTGAATTATTAGTGGTGAACCAAATATGTAGTGTCGCTATGGGAAAGAAAAGAAGTTAGTATAGTTTAGAGTTATATCTTGAATCAAATGAATAAAAAATCGAAGTGTACATATAACTCGTGACGTGATTGTGATTTTAAAAGGGCTCGTTAGATATTTCGTTTAAGAAAAGTACTTTCGGTTGTTCCTCAGAAATATCAAAATGCAAGGCGATACAGACCGTGGGTTTGAGAAATCAGGACAAAAAAATTCTTGATGACTTTATGTATGTCGAATTTGTGTATGTTTTAAATTATTTTTGTTGTAAAACTCATATCAAAAGTGAACTTTTCCAAATGCTAAGAGAAAAGAAAATTTTGAAAAATAAAAGCCGCTCTACCAATTCCACGTTTTAAATTTGAAGTGTAATTAGGTGGAATGTTAGATATAAAGATTGTCGGATTTCATAGCTAGCACGTGTTATAATATTATAAGGCAAAAGAACACTACAAGTGCCATAACTTGTGTACGGCGCTCACTTTGGTGCCATAAGTTTTTTTTGGATCACTTTAGTGCTAAAATTTTTGAAAAACGATCACTTAAGTGCCAACTCCGGTGCCGTACACAATTTTTCGCCGAAAATCCGACGTGGCATTTTTTTATTAATTTCTGAAGCTGACGTGGCTTGCCGGAGATTGGCACTTAAGTGATCGTTTTTCAAAAATTTTAGCACTTAAATGATCGTTTTTAAAAAATTTTAGCACTTAAGTTATCGTTTTTCAAAAATTTTAGCACTGAAGTGATCGAAAAAAAACTTATGACACTTAAGTGATCGTTTTTCCTCCGACTTGATACCAAAGTGATCCAAAAAAAAGTTATGGCACCAAAGTGATCTCCGTACACAAGTTATGGCACTTATAGTGTCCTTTTGCCAATATTATAATATGTAACTTTACCAATGGGCCCCCACAAATTGTGTTATTATTACATGTTTTATTTTTTTTGTGGTCGGAACGTTACTATTACATTTCAAGTGGGGAAAAAGTAACAAAATTTAGAATGATAATTAATTAAAAGAAACTAAAATTAGGGAAAGGACCACACGGGCAACGAAGCGGCGGAACAGATGCAACATAAAGGCAAAGACCGGTAGGATTGATGGGAGAATTCACATCAGATATGACCCGAGACTGGCAATTGAATCTTGATTTTCTTGGCTCAGGACCTGTGTTCGAATCGCCGCCCTCGTGCATTCTCTCGGAGCGCCTCGTGGAGGAGGACGGAATTAGATCCTCAACAATTAGTCGGGGCGGCTTGGGATGGGTGATTGTTGCACCTGATGGGAGATTGATCAAACGTTCAAAGAGAAGTCAGCCAGCTTGGGATAGGTGATTGTTGCACCCCGGTGGGAGATTGATCAATCGTTCAAAGAGACCGGACACTCTGTTAAAATTAGCTTGGGCTCATTCTTAACATTGTCAAAATGGGAAAATTATCCAAAAAGTCCTAAGCCTTTTGTACGTTAGCCAATCCAGTTCTAATCCTTTAAATTGTGCCAATTTAATTTTAAATATTTTGACGATTTGTTAATATAGTCCTTTTGGTCAATTATCCAAATAATAAGTTGAGACAAAATTGACAAAATTTCAAAAGATTTAGGACTAAATTGTCATAACTGAAAGGTTTAGGATTGAATCGGTCGCTGTATAATAACGTTTAGGACATTTTGAACAATCATCCCTTGTCAAAACTCTTCTTGAAATAATTTTCATCAGAAGTGCCATCAAACACGAAAGGTCATCGAACTTAGTCGGAGCACATGGATCGGGTCGATCTCGCCAACACGTTATACTACAGTCGATATGGTTCGGGCTCGCATGTATCGTGAGCATGCAAATTTTTGCTTAGAAAAGCTCCACACACATTGGATGATATGATTATATGGTTGACAATGTCACATAAACTAGAACCATATGCTTGGATTTTGAACATTCATGCATGCTAAACTGAGAAATATGGAGAGTTGAAAGGGAGTTAGACTAGCTCATTGTTGGAGTTGGCGAATACTTCAAGGACTCTTATTTCTCATACCGGGCACGCCCACATGAGCTTAGGAAAATCGAAGTATGATTCGACAACATGTAACCCCTGCGCACGGAATGCGAGGGTTCGGGGGCAGCGCCCCCGACACGGGGGTCCTGTTGACCGGATAGTGAGAGGGGGTTCCGCTCCCCGGTGAGCGGACGGCGGCCTCGCTCGCCGGTGAGCGGGCAGGGGTTCAGGGGCAGCGCCCTCGAAACAACATCGGTTTTGCTGGCTCGTTTGTTGTGAGATTAAAGGGATTCGGATAGGTTTTGGGGTTTGGGCCCATTTTAAGTTCTATATATATTTTACTCGTATGAGAGATCATTGTAATGAGTGGCTGTGGTTGTAAACCTAAATTATAGTGGAATCCATTTGCAGGACGTAACCCTATTCTTGGATGAACTTGGGTAAACTCGTGCATCATTTAATTTTCTTCTATTCTCTGCGTGATCCTTCTGATTCGATTTGTGATACACCCCCCATCACTCATCTCACAGGCCTCCCACCTAACGTTCTTTAAGAAGAAACCCACGGACACGGGCATAGAGCACCCCCCATCCATGCGCTCCATTTAAGATTTCCGTTTTTTCTTCAATCTTAGTTTGAACCCCCTCTATCCCTCTTGTTTTAGGGGGTATCATTAGCACGAGGGAGAGAGAGAGAGAGAGAGAGAGAGAGAGAGAGAGAGAGAGAGAGAGAGAGAGAGAGAGAGAGAGAGAGAGAGAGAGAGAGAATGGCGAGGCAAAAGGCAATGGTCAATTCAAGAAGCCAAGATATTGAGAAGAAATGGGTGTGCATTTTGCTTGTGCTGGTGTCTGCCTTAGCTGCTTCATCTCAGTACATTATGGAGACACTTCCTGGGTTCCCTGGAACACTTCCTTTCAAGCTGGAAACCGGGTCAGTTTGGATTCTTTCATGTCATCTCTCTCTCTCTCTCTCTCACGATGATTTGAAAGTAGAGTTCCTTCGTTAGTTCTGATTTTGCGACGCTTTGTATCGGACCGCGATGAAAATGAGGCGATCTAGGAGGGTCTGCGACCGGAGGCACGGTGTCCCGGCGGCACCATACATGGAATATCTGATTGCTTTCTCACCAGCATTTCTTTGTTTCTAGCATTTGGTGATGCATGATGGTGCTGAGATTGCTGACTTTTTGGGAAAAGTGTCAAAAAAATCCTAAACCTTTTGCATTGGTGCTAATTTAGTCTTAAATCTTTTTTTGATACAATTCAGTCCTAAACCTTTTGCATTGGTGCCAATTTAGACCTTAACCTTTTTTTGGTGCCAATTGAGTCCTAAACCTTTTGCATTGGTGCCAATTAAGTCCTAAACCTTTTGTCTTTGTGCCAATTCAGTCCTTCCGGTCAATTTTAGCCGGATTTTGCTAACGTGGATGCCAATCGACCGGCAGCCGGTCACCAGCGTTGACGTGGACAACTTTAATAATATTTTAATATTTTTTTGAATTTTTTTGAATTTTTTTTTCTTTCCTTTTTTTTTTCTCTCCTCTCCTTCTAGCCGGTCGCCGGACCGGCGGGTGGTCAGAGGCCGGCGCTAGCGAGGCTCGCCCACGCCGGCTACTAGCAAGGCTCGCCCTAGCCGGCCACTGGAGAGGGGGGCCTCGCGCTGGGCGAGGCCCGACCTCGCCAAATCCGGCGAGGTCGTGCCTTGCCCAGCCGCCGGCGAGGCTCGCCCTCGCTAGCAAAGGTGAAGGCGAGCCTTGCCATGGCTAGGTGAGGCCCGACCTCACCAGATCTGATGAGGTTGTGCCTCGCCCAACTGCCGGCGAGGCTCAACCTCGCCAGCTAGCGAGGTCAAGCCTCGCCGGTGGCTGAGCGAAGCTCGCCTTCGCCATCGCTGGCGAGCACAAGCCTCGCCTAGCGGGAGGCCGCCCTCGCCAGTGGCCGGCGTGGGCGAGCCTTGCCAGCATTGGCCTCTGGCCTTTGGCCGGTTGCTGGTCCGGCGACCGGCTGGAGGGAGGGGAAAGAAAAAAAAAGAAAAGAAAAAAATTAATAAAAATTCAAAAAAAATATTAAAATATTATTAAAGTTGTCCACATCAGCGCCGGTGACCGGCCGCCGGCCGGTCGACGTCCACGTCAGCAAAATCCAGCCAAAATTGACCGGAAGGACTGAATTGGCACAAAGACAAAAGGTTTAGGACTGAATTGGCACAAATGCAAAAGGTTTATGATTCAATTGGCGCCAAAAAAAGGTTTAAGACTAAATTGGCACCAATGCAAAAGGTTTAGGACTAAATTGGCATCAATGCAAAAGGTTTAGGACTTTTTTGGCACTTTTCCCCTGACTTTTTTTAAAAATGTAGACACCAGCTAAAGGGAACTTTGCAGTTGGTCCCTACAATTCATGACTTATCTCAACTGGGTCCTTGAGTTTCTAATTGCATCTATAAAGTCCTTCCGCGGTCCAGACTCCCCACTTTAGAAAGCTATGCCGTTAGCTCTTCTATTCAGTACATGCCTTTCTAATCTTGGAATGTAAACTGATAGAAGATTTTTTAGTACAATTCTGACCTTGCGGTAAAGTAAATGCCAAAATTACATACTTTTCTTTTCGAGGGTGATGGTTCAACGGATATAATCAACAAGATTAAAGCGACATGAGTAATGATGTGGAAGAACAAAATGTGTAAATAACTCTGATGATGTTGGGTACCAGGTAAAGTTATTGATAGTTAGGGTGCGCATGAATACCATTCTGTGCCCGGGAACTATTTCTGAACAGAAATGATTTTTTTTTATTCTGTGCCCGGAAATAATTTCTTAGATATCCGCCAGGAATTTCAGGAGCTTTTCAAATGGCAGATTGGTAATGGAAGGTCCATCTCATTCTGGTTTGATTACTGGCACACCAAAGGCCCTCTCTACAAGCTCTTCTCGGATAGGGATATTTATTGTTCGGGCATCTCCAGAACGGCTTCAGTATGGGATTTTTTCTTTTCGGAATGGCACCAATCTAATGTGCTCCAATCTTTCCATTCCTGGTCAGAACCTCTCCCTCTTTTTGACTCGGAAACGGGTGATCGACTACTTTGGCAAGGTCATTCTTCGGGAACCTTTTCGGTTTCTTCGGCCTGGGACTTGATCCGGAATAGAGGACAAGTACTTTACTGGAGTTCCTTCATTTGGGACCGCAACATTGCTCCAAGACACGGTTTTCTGATGTGGGTGATGTCTCTCAATAGGCTGCCGATGCAAACTACCACAGAATCTCTGAAGGTGTTTGTGCTTATTGCCGCAATAGACCAGATTCTATAAATCACCTTTTCTTTGAGTGTCCTCGTACACGCACCCTTGCGCAATTTTGGGCTACTAATTGCAACCTTTCTTGGCAAAATGGTACATGGCAACAAAATCTCCGATGGGCTTCTCGATTTATTGGAGGTCCAAACTTTCATCACTACATTGCTCGCTTTGCCTTTGGGGCTTTGTGCCACATTATTTGGACGGAGCGGAATCATATCCTGTTTAGGAACCGGACCCTCTACTTGCCGGCCCTCCGCAATCACCTTGCCAAGGTGGTTAGGGACAAAGGCCTTTCTCTCAAGCCGGTTCAAGACTCTCCCATTAATCGAAGGACCCAAACCAATTGGGGTATCTCGTCCTCCATTTTTGAGTGATCTCTTGTTGTTTGCTTGTTATTAGTCTCTTTCTCTTAGTTGCCTAATGTTTAGGCCGTAGCTATTTGCGCACTTGTTCTCCTTTTGACAAAGTCGCAACACTTTTGCACCCGTCGGGACACCTCTTTGTGTCACTTCTGGTTCGAGGTTTTTGTGTTCGGCTTCTCTTTGCAAGTCGCGCGTTGAAAAGTTTATATACTACTTACCTTACCAAAAAAAATAATAATAATTTCTGAGCATTTGAAAGCGTTTGATAAACTGTCCAAAATTTCTATTCCTAGAGTAGAAAAGAACATAAATGCATTTGGTAACTACACAAAATTTCTTTTTATTAATAATATTTTAATAATATTTTGAATTGTTTAATTTTTTTTTCTTTCTAACCATTTTCTTTTTTGGCCATGGCAGGTCGCCGGCGACCGGCCACAGCCCAGGGCCGGCGAGGGCGTCACGGCCCTCGCCAGCCGCCGGCGGAGGTAATGGTCCCCCTTCCCGGCGAGGGCGAGGGCTGGACCCTCGCTGCCTAGGCGAGGTGGCTCGCCATCGGTCATGGCGAGTTCGGCCTCGCCCAGATCGGGCGAGGCCGAGCCTCGCCGTGGGTCGCGACGGCGAGGCTCGGCCTCGCCCAGATCTGGCGAGGCCGAGCCTCGCCGTCGCGACCCACGGCGAAGCCGACCTCGCCGTCGCGACCCACGGCGAGGCTCGGCCTCGCCCGATCTGGGCGAGGCCGACCTCGCCATGACCGACGGCGAGCCGCCTCGCCCAGGCGGCGAGGGTCCAGCCCTCGCCCTCGCCGGCAAGGGGGACCCTCGCCTCCGCCGGTGGCCGGCGAGGGCCGTGACGCCCTCGCCGGCCCTGGGCTGTGGCCAGTCGTCGGCCGCCAGTCGCCGGCGACCGGCCATAACCCAGGAAAGAGCAACACAAAGAAGAAAAGACAAAAAAGAAAAAGAAGACAAAAACGTATTCTCAAAATTGTGCCGAGAAACAAGAAGCAACTTTTTTTTACTTCTTGTTTCACTTCCAAAACTGTTTCTGGGCACAAATTTTTGCAAAAATGTGCCCGGGAACAAAAAGTTTACCAAACGCATTTCTGTTCCCAAACTATTTCTGGGAACAAAAGAACAGAAATTTTCACTGTTTGGCACGTTACCAAACGGGCCCTTAGTGTGCACAAATTCATCACATATTAGATAAATTGATATCGATGTTTAATCACAACCCATTCAATCTTCTTGTACATATACACTAATGTCGGAAATGTTTTGTATTAGAGTTCTTCCTTCAAGCAAGTGAAGTTATATTCTTTAGCGGATGAGAAAGCCCACCAAAATTACACGGGCAGATTAGTCAACTCATCTTAATGGACTTATCCAACATACATCGGCTGCACCAAAATTTTCTCTACCCATAATACTTTAGTCAGCAGGTTCTCCTAACTTTCCATAACAACAACACCCACACCCACTGCAAGATGACAAACCTTTCAAAGAATTTTGCTGACCTATGTTTGGCTCCTCCCAACAAGATTGGAATGCTAGCATAAACTCTCTAACAATGACTACCATCAGTCCAAACAAACTCAACTCCACTTGCTTTTGCATTCTCTCTCTGTTTCTGTACCTTTCTGGCTCTGCATTTTCTAGCTGTATTGCTAAGGAATTACCGGGTATCCTGGTTTGGTTCTGCTCACTCTTGAAACTGGGTGAATTAGTAATGTGACTGTACTTCGATTTCAAAATGCAGGGATGGACTCGACTTTTTCAGTGATCTTGATTGGGTATGTTGGTTGATGCAGGTACATAAGTGTTGGCGATGTTGAGTTCTTCTACTACTTTGTGAAGTCTACCGGGAATCCTGGAGCTGACCCTCTTCTGCTTTATGTGAATAGAGGTCCCGGGTGTTCGGGTTTGAACGCCTTCTTGTTCCAGATTGGTAAGTTTCTTATTCTTCGTAATTCCTCCTATTATATTATTACTATATCATGATGATGCTGCAAATGTCTTCAAGTAGGTGTTTATATAGTATTTTGATGTCTCCAATATGCAGGTCCTCTTAAATTCAACATTACTGATTACACTGGGGGTTTGCCAACATTAATCTACGAGCCAGATGCGTGGAATAAGGTAAAGTGAGAAGCAATAAATTTTGCCCTTGATTTAGGATTATTTAACAATTTACCGAACTGCATTGAATGTGAAATCCTGTCCAGTAATTGAGTTAATACTGACTTTTTCCCCTTCCAAAATTATCAGACAGCCAACATTATATTCATAGATGCACCAGTTGGCGCGGGTTTCTCCTATGCAACGACAGCATCGGCGTACGTATCCACAGACACATTGAACACTGCACAGATGCAGACCTTCTTAAGAAATGTGAGTGAAATTCTTACAGACCGTGGTGGTTGTATCATACGAAAGAAAAAACGGGGGTGAAATGAATGCTAATATATATATGCGATGCAGTGGTTGGCGGCACATCCAAATTTCCAAACCAATCCAGTGTTTATTGGTAGCGATTCTTATGCTGGTATATACACTCCCATGCTTGCTACGGATATTCTACAAGGTATCCATTCTTTTCTATAAACCTGATTGAATGGGATAAATATACACGTTATTGCCTTTTCACACCTATTGATGGTTATGAAGTTACATTTTCCTATCATGCTCCAAACTTGCAGGGAATGAAGCTGGACTTAAACCATATATCCACCTTAAGGTATGGAAAAAGCCTGCTCATCATCTTAATTTTTCCTGCTAGAAATTTGACATAAGCTGTATCTTGTGTTGATATACTGATCTTCTCTTTGTTGAATCATTTTCAGGGAATGATACTATCATGTCCCCACACGTTCACCGATCTCGAAACAAACTCAAAAATTCCATTTGCTCATAGGTTGGCCCTCGTTTCAGATGCACTTTATGAGGTAAATGAATGACAAATCATGTGCGAACTCATTGATGCAAGACTAGTTGAGCAGTTGTGATTCCTGGGTATGATCAACTTATATCCATTCATTATCAGGCTTTAGAAGTAAATTGCGGTGGGAATTTTGTGGATTCAACAAACGTGACCTGCACAGAGGATCTGGCAGCGTATGACGAGGTCAGAGAATGTGCATCCCTAATGGATACTTATGAAGTAGACTCGTTATTTTTTCTCACCAAACTCTTGTTTGGTTTGAGATTTATTGAACATAAAGTTTGAGCAGCACTACAAAAAAACAAGAGTTTTCCAACGAATTTTCCAACGAAAAATTTGGCAAAATTCGTTGGAAAACGAATTTCCAACGAAATTTCCGACAAAAAAAAATTCGTTGGTAATTCGTCGTCGCAAATTTTTGTGACAAAAAATTTAAATTTTCGTTGGTAATTTGCGACGAAATTTTTTCGTTGGAAAATTCGTTGGAAAAATTAGTCGGAAAATTCGTTGGAAAATTCGTTGGAAAATTCGTGGCAAAATTCGTTGGAAAATTCGTTGGAAAGTTCGTTGGAAGTTCGTTGGAAAATTCATCGGTAATTATCCGTTGCAAAAATCGTGGCAAAAATCATTGGAAATTATTCATGGCAAAACGAATTTCCGACGAAAAAAAATTCGTCGGTAATTCGGCGTTGGAAATTTTTGTGACAAAAAATTTTAATTTTTCGTTGGTAAAGTCCGACACAAAAAAATTCGTTGCAAAATTCGTAGATAAATTCGTGGCTAAATTTGTTGGAAAATTCGTTGGTAATTATTCGTTGGAAACATCGTGGCAACATTCGTTGGTAATTTCCAACGAAATTAGCGACGAACAAAATATTTCCAACGAAATTAGCGACGAACAAAAAATTTGAATTTTCGTTGGTAATTTGCGACGAAAATCAATTCGTGGCAAAATTCGTCGCTAATAATTCGTTGGAAAAATTCGTTGCTAACTATTCGTTGGAAAAATCGTGGGAAGTCGCAAATTTTTCCGATAAAAAATTACAATTTTCGTTGGTAATTTCCGACGAAAACTAAATTCGTGGGAAATCGCGAATTTTTCCGACAAAAAATTAGAATTTTTCGTTGGTAATTTCCGACGAAAACTAAATTCGAGGGTAAATTCGTTGGAAAAATCGTATATAAATTCGTCCCTGATTATTCGTTGGAAAAATCATCGGAAATCGCGAATTTTTCCGACAAAAAATTACAATTTTCGTTGGTAATTTCCGACGAAAACTAAATTCGTGGGAAATCGCGAATTTTTCCGACAAAAAATTACAATTTTCGTTGGTAATTTCCGACGAAAACTAAATTCGTGGGAAATTTTTTAATTTTTCGGACAAAAAATTACAATTTTCGTTGGTAATTTCCAACGAAAACTAAATTCGTGGGAAATCGCGAATTTTTCGGACAAAAAATTACAATTTTCGTTGGTAATTTCCGACGAAAACTAAATTCATGGGAAATTGCGAATTTTTCCAACAAAAAATTACAATTTTCGTTGGTAATTTCCGACGAAAACTAAATTCGTCGGTAAATTCGTTGGAAAAATCGTGTAAAAAAAATTCGTCCCTGATTATTCGTTGGAAAAATCGTGGGAAATCGCGAATTTTTCCGACAAAAAATTACAATTTTCGTTGGTAATTTCCGACGAAAACAAAATTCGTGGGAAATTTCGTTGCAAAATTTGTCGCTAATTATTATTTGCAAAAATCATGGGAAATCGAGAATTTTTTCGACAAAAAATTTCAATTTTCGTTGGTAATTTGCAACGAAATCTATACGTGACAAAATTCGTCGCTAAGTTTGCGACGAATTTTGTTTAGCGACAATTTCGAATTTAAATCTAATTATTAGCAATATTAATTTCTACAATGCATAAGTTGCAAAGTCTCACATGATGATATTCGATATTCAATCTCATAATACAAAGAGGCAGCTAAGCACTAGTGAATATCAGGTGATACATTCAAAACATTGAAAGAACGCGGGACAACCATAAAACGTTGGCAGCTTTGGTACTCGAGAATGAACTAGGAAGGACTGACAATAAAATCATCAGCATCATCATCATCATCATCATCACCAATCGCCACATCATTGTGTGGCTCAGCATTATGCCCATCATCAATTGGATTAATATGAGGTAGAGGAGGAACCTCATTGCGATCGATGTCGAGATGTCGCAAGATAATTTGCATTTGTTGATGCATCACCCTTATTTGTTCGTCCTTCTGTCCAAGTAAATGCTTCATTTCTTCGTCCTTCTGTACAAGCAATTGTTTCAGTTGGCTCAATTCTTGGGTCATATGCTCCTCATGTCGTGTCCTCCTTGAAACAGCCGCATTGGAGGATGAAGTTCCAGCAGCCTTCGTTTTGTACATCCTTGACAAGGATCCCATCCCAAATATTTTTCCTCCTTTCATCCCACCCCCTGCCTCCACCCATAATGCCATACTGTCAACCGATGGCTCATACACGGCAACACCATCACCACCACCACCACCATCATCACCACCACCATCACCACTAGCAGTGCTCATTAAAAGTTCATCATATTTTTCCTATATTAACATTATAGATAGAAATAAAATAAATTCATATATATTACCATAAATATTAAAAACATTCATGATTTTCATTCTAGTTTCCATAAAGTCCGAACTATAACCTTACATACCTTAATAGCTTTTGCTCGAGTGCCAGTCCATGTCTTATCCTTTTTTTGGAATGTGCGTTCAAATGTAGCTGTAAATGTGAGTTCCGTCCCCAATTCATCTGCCTACAAAATATAAACATAAATGAGTAATCATTGAATTAAATGCACTAACATGTATAAACAGGCTTACCATTCTTCTTTTATGCTCCCCGATGCTGATAGAGCCGCCAGCATATGTGGCAGCCGCAGACCCGTCACTAGAACTAGAAGCTCGATTCTTCTTGTTCTGTTCACACCTTTGCTTATGCTTCTCAGTTTCCCAAGTTCTCGTAATTTCCGTCTAATTGTCAGATGTAAAAAAGGTCGGCTTTTCTTTTGTTCTCTTCGCTCTATTTATCACATATCGCATGTGATCACCGATTTTCTTCTCGAAAATTCTTCTAACCTCATCCTCTTCCATTTCATCCCACGTGAACTTACGCTACAATTAATAGAAAAGCAACTGAAAGTTATCCACTAGGGTCACATGTCACATATCCATTACAATGTACCAGACAATTCGTGACAAAATTCATTATTAACCATCAGTATGCTACACCGAACTTAGTTTGTGAGAAAATAGAAAGACAACACTAACCTTGAACTCATTCCACCACAAAGTCTTCACTTCTGCGGGAGCGCTGCTGAAAGTAGTAAACTGGCCCATCCAACAGTTATTGACTATTTTATTAAGTTCCCTCACAACATACGTAGAATCCGTGAATCTGAAAACATGTTATAACAATATGGACAATGAGACAATGAAGCATACGGATAATTCGCAACATGAACAATTTTGTTTACATTGATAATTTATATAAACGTAAAAAAATGAATTACTTACAAATCTCCATATGGGCATATAATGAATCGGATATCTTCTTCATCATTCGAGTGTTGCACTGAAGAAAAAAGTGGAACCAAAGGAGATTGAATCGGAGATGGAACTGAAGTAAATTCAATTCGCATATCCTGAGGTTCTCCCCTAATATGTTGTTGAGGGTCGGAGGATGAGCCAATGTGTTCGTGTTGTCCATGAACATGTTGTGGTTGAGGGTTACCTGAAAGGGCAGGGGAAGAGGACAGGGTCGGGGACGAGGACGAGCCAGCTGAAGGGGCTGATCTTCTTTGTGAACCCGCACCACGCATGAAACCTCCACGTTTAAACTGACAAGTAGGAAGGTTAGACAAATATATTTAAAAATATGAACATGTATTAGGGACTGAAAATGACGTAAGTCATTTTGCTTACCATTTTGTTTCAGATAGTAATAAATAAACTCGACAAATTGAAACAAACCGACTATCGCTTCTGATAAATAGCAATCTTTGGCCCTCGTCGAAGCAACCTATTTAAATTTGGACCACATCAGATTTCACAAAAAATAAAATGAAGCATATTAAATGTGCAGAACGAATTACAACAAGTATCAACTCTGATGCCACATTTGTGCAAATTTATGCCCCAAATATGCTATTTCGCAAAGTTCTAGTACAGACCTAGAAAAAATATCACAAATTACGTTCAACAAGCAAATACGCCACGAATGCAACCATTAATTTGTTCCCTTTTTAAGCTTCATTTTACCTAAGTTTATATCTTTGCACAAAAATCATTAAAAAAAATCGACAACCGTGCCGGAATCACGGCCGCGACCCTCCGGCAAGCTCGCCGGCGACCCCCCCTCCGGTGAGCTTGCCGGCTACCCCCCCCACGGACAGCTCGCCGGCCGTGCCCCCTCCCCCCCTCCGGCAAGCTCGCCGGCGACCCCCCCAATGGCCAGCTCGCCGACAACCCCCCCCACGGCCGGCTCGCGGCGACCACCCCCTCCGCGGCCAGCTCGCCGGCAACCCCCCACGGCCGGCTCGCCGGCGACCCCCCACGGCCGGCTCGCCCGCGACGCCCCCCCCGGCCGGCTCGCCCGCGACCCCCCAACGGCCGGCTCGGCGGCGACCCACCCCCTCCGGCCCCCTCGGCTGCGACCCACCCCCGCCGGCGAACTCGGCGGCCACCCCCCACCGGCCAACTCTGCCGCCACCCCCCCTCCGGCCAAGTCCACGGCAACCCCCGTGACCCCCTCACGGCCGCGACACCATTTTATTCAAGGAATAGTTTAGGGTTACCTACCGCGCTGGGAGAAGTCGACGGCGAGGTGGACGGCGAGGACGCCGGCGAGGTGGACGGCGAAGGCGGCGACGGCGACGAGGACGGCGCTGAGGAGATTCGTGCGAGGGTATTTGCAACAAAAGTGAAGTCTCGGCGAAAATAGACTATAGTGTAATATTTGCAACGAATTTGAAATTCGTGGGAAATTTCCCACGAATTTTCCAACGAATTCCAAATTCGTGGCAATATATTCCACTATAGACTATTTTCCCACGAATTTCAAAAAACTCAGCCAATGGTGGGTTTTTTGCAATTCGTGGGAAAATTTGTTGGAAA